GGCGCTCACCTGGGGAGAGCGGGGCCGCGGCCGGGCTCACCGCCCTCCCCCGGCGCTCCAGCCGGCCGGGGAGAGCGGAGCCGCGGCCGGGCTCGCCGCCCTCCCACCGGCGCTCCGGCCGGCCGGGGAGAGCGGGGCTGCGGCCGGGCTCAGCGCCCTCCCCTACCGTGTTCCCCGCCGGGGGATGGGGGGCGGCGAGAGGCTTTTTTGCCTGGGGTGGCAAAAAAGCCAGAGCCGGCCCTGACCACAGGGTTGCACAAGTAGCCCTACAAATGGATCTTCCTTTGCCATTCTGTTGAAGATGCATGAGCCAGAAAAGAGCCCAGCTCTATCTCCCTGAGCTGCGTTGGCTCTGAGCGGCAGACACTTGTAAAAAAACAGTCAGATCTTACTTCTTCGGGAAGTCAGCAGCTCTGACTCTGAATCTGACACACAAGGAACAGATCTGCCATGCAAGAAGGGGCTATTTTTACATAGTCACTTTTCAGAGCAGAACCTCACTCTAACCATAACAAATACATCTGTGAATCACTCAGCTTATCATTTTGAAAACTCAGAATATGAAAACTGTAAGGTTCTTATGGCAACCTTGTCTTTTCCACACTGCATATACCAGACACAGTGCTAGAGATCTCTGAGATACAGACTGGAGTTTGCCGCCACAAGGCTGGGAGAGAGATTATAATTGGAATTATTCCAAGGGTTCTTCTCAGGAAGCAACTGTCCAAGTGGGAGCGCCACTACACATGTGACCCTCTGGTGTCAGCTTAGCTCAGCTAACTTGTATAGTAACAATATCTAGCTCCTATATAGCACTTTACAAGGAAGTCCATACGATTATCCCCATTTTACAGATAGCTAAACTGAGGCACAAAGAGGTGAACTGACTTGCCCAAGGTCACCTAGCAGAGTCCAGTGACCAAGTCAGGAATAGCACCCTGGTCTCCTGAGTCCCAGTCCAGTGCACTACCCACCAGGCCCACCGGTGTGGTATTGAAAAGGTAGGGCCATACTCCCACCTGCTGCATGGGTGGAGCGTCTAGTGCCAGCAGTGGTGCTACACTTAGATATAGTCTTTGTGCTGCTTATGATGACTAGGGCTGACCTCTGCAGAGGAGCACAAGGGAAGGAAGATTTCTTGCACCTTCTCTTCCACCCATGTCAGGCGAGCTACACCCTAGCCCTTCAAGAAAACTAATGGTTTTATTTAAAATATAACTTTAAATGCAAGTGGCCCAATTCTACCCTTGGACGTGCACACACAACTCCAGCTGACTCCAATGGGGATGTATCAGCTGGCAAAATTGGATCCTCCATATGAAATGGGACAAGTTAGCTATTGTGAGAAACATACATTTTTGCACTTCCTGGCTTTCTGAGTGCTTATAACTGTAATGTTAATATGACATTAGCATGGTTTTGTGCATTGCGTTAATTTATTTTTAAGAGAAAAGAGGAGAGAGAGGCTAAGAATGGGATTTTCAAAATGCCCTCAGAACTTAGGGGCGCAAGTCCCACTGATTATCAGTGCCTACGTCACTATGGGTCTGTCTACATTGTAATTAAACACCTGTGTCTGACCTCTGCCAGCTGACTCTGGCTAAGGGGCTGTTTAATTGCCGTGCAGACTTTTGGGCTTGGGCTGCAGCCCAAGCTCTGGGACCCTCCCACCTTGCAGCCCAAGTCCGAATGTCTACACTGCAATTAAACAGTCCCTTAGCCTCAGCCCCACAAGCCTGAATCAGCTGGCATGGGCGAGCTGCCTGGTTTTAATTGTAGCGTAGACATACCTGTAAGTGCTTTTGAAAATTCCACCCTAAAACACTAATCTCTCAACTGATTTCACAACTGCTTTGTCAACCACAGAACCACACACTGATGGGGGTATCAAAGTAACCTTAACTAGAGCATTCGCCTTAGCGACCAAGCAAACACTATAACATATGCACCTGCCATCCACATCTGCACTATTACACACACCTGTACTAACAAAAACATCTGTCCGAACATGTAATATTTACAACTATTCAGACATACTATTAATTGCATCTGTCCATACAGCTAGTTTAATATCTGCATCTGGCTGCACAGCTGTATTAATATCAGCAGCTGATTGCACAGCTGTATTAGTCTCTCCCTTTAACCTCATAGCTATTTTCATCTGCTCATACATCTGTTTAGATATGTGCATCTGCCCATACATGCTGTCCACAGTTCAGTGTTATTAGAGAAGTCCCCACTGGCATAGTTATATTTAAGTCTCTGTCTGTATTTCCATTACAAATTCTTTTTTTTTTCAGTGCTGTCTAACTTGGTGGTATAAATCAGCTGGAGGCAATGGCTTGGCAGGCAAGTGAACATATTTTCAAACAAACATCTGAGTTCAGCTGTTGTTAAGGCCTTAGGTTGGGGACCAATTCATAATGGAGTGAGATTAAGGAGAGAGTAGCAACCTTAACTGCTGAGCATTCCATCTTTGCTAGTGCAAAAATCCCTCTCTGTCCTCTTCTCTGACTCATCTCTTCTTCTCCCAGGGAAGAAGGCTTTTGAGCATCACAGAGAGAGATCAGACTTGCCCTGTAAAATAACTCCTCATTCAGCCCCAGGAAAACCAATGTCTCACTTTCCCAGTCCTCTCACAACCTTTGGTCAACAAAAGAGCTTTAAATGGGGTGGGGACACACCCAGGTAATGGATATCAAGTCTGGGGAATAGAAGAATATAATGGGGAGAGTTTCTTTCTCTGGGCTTTTAAGTTTTACTTTTTTAAAGTGAAACGTAGCACTGATGAAAGGTGGACTGGCAGTTCAGGACCCTCTAATTATTCCAAAAAGGCTTACAGCAGGGCCAGTGCTAGATACCCATATCCATTTCCCCTTCCCGCCAGCTAGAAGTAGTTTGGAATTAGCACTCTATAGATGAAAGGCTCTACATAACTGTCTCCTGAGCCAAGCCGATTATCCATTATCCATACCCATTATTATCCTGAAAGTCATCTTCCCACCTCCCTCCCTTCCCTTCTTAGACAGAACACAGAGATCCAAGCGGCTGGATCCATGAGCGTGTGTAGGGGGAAAAGGAACTCCCATTGACTAAGGAGCCAGGATGAGAAGGGAGAGAAACTTGCAATGAAAAAGGCTCCTCTTACCTCTGCCATCAGCAAGGCACCGATTGTAACCTACAGGGCTGAAGTACTCAAAGACGAAGACAGCCACTGCAGAGATTATGAGCAGCATGACAAACATCATCACCCATACGTCAGCACTGAATGGTTCTGGGAAGGAGAGGAGAAAAACAGGGCACAGGGTGAAATGCCAGACACACCACAGCCAGCATTACTGTCCCACTCACAGGGTTCCATGTCGAGGGTGGGGATGGGGGGACTGGTTTGCATAGAATAGGAACTAGCTCCCAAACCTTCACGCCCCCACCTCAAATCAAGCCTCAAAGCTTCTGAGACTGGAAAAAGTTAGTTCCTTTTTTATTCCATTTTCATCGCAGGGTCTGTAATTCCCAGTTCCACCTAGAACCAGGCCCAGATGTTATCAGATGCAATGATGAAATGCTCGTCCCATTAAGTCCTTCAGCCCATTTCTGGGGAACAAACAGGTTTGGATACGACTCAGCTAAGCAGCTTAATTTTGGGGTGCGTGCCTGAACCAAATTCTATCCCTGAAGTTTTTGCAGTTCAGCCAGAATTATGGCAGTGCTACCAATGTTCCAGCCTGCCGCTTGGCAATTGAGACCACCAGACTGCACTAGAAATGCTACAGTTCATGCCCTGTGAGTGTTTGACTGAAGCTGGCTTCTGCCCTTCTCCAAGCTTAAGGGGCAGTGATGGGGCTGAGCGAGTTCAGATCAAATATGATCCTGCTCCAACTTTCACTCAAAGTTTGAACCCAAACCTATTTGAAATTCAAAAATGTTGTGTTAATTTTGTTGCTGCTGCTGTTTTAAATTTCCTGGTGATATTTCAGGACCTGGCCAAAGCCAGAAAATACTGGAAAGCTTATAAGAAAAGCATTATCTCCTGAGATTCCCAGCCCAAAGAGGTTTAGATAATCTTCCTTAGGTACACGAGTAACTTCATATAGATAAGTGTTTGCAGAATCAGGGTCAGAGAGCAGACTGATCCTATAACTCACCTTTTATGCTTTGCTATATCTCAACATATTTTATAAAGCAAAGCGGTAAATATTAGGAATGTAGTAACTGCTTGAGGAAACACAGAAGCAACTCAGGACTCAGTGATCATTCTCAACTACCTTGGGACCCTAGAACTGGGGGATGGAATCTTGGCCTAGCACAGGGATTGTGCCCCACTCTTTTTCAGAAGTGCTGGTAGATATTTATCTTCCACTGTGCCAAAGGGAGCTTAGGTTAATGTGTCCTTGTAGGGTGACATGTCTAAAGCCAAGTCTTACCACCCTCATTGTATTATCACTGAGGGGGAATAGCTCAGTGGTTTGAGCAGTGGCCTGCTAAACTCAGGGTTGTGAGTTCAATCCTTGAGGGGGCCACTTAGGGATAGGGGGTAAAAATCTGTCTGGGGATTGGCCCTGCTTTGAGCAGCAACTTGGACTAGATGACCTCATGAGGTCCCTTCCAACCCTGATAGTCTATGACAGGCACAAGTTCTGGTAGGAGGACCTGTACCACTTTTCTTCTGGCTCACACTCACTGGGAGTGATACTAGCTGAGCCACCAAGCACATCATCTACCCAGCAATCAGAACCATGACTGCAGCAATGTAGACAGACCCAAGTTAGCTTTGATCTAGCTAGCTCCCATAACAATAGAAGCAAAGCCATGGCAGCATGGACTAATCATTCAAGTAGGCACCCAGGGTCCTGGGTGGGCTTAACCTCACTGCTATTGTTATTGGAGTTAGCTAACTCAAAGCTAGGTCAGGTATGTGCACATGTGCTGCTGTCAACCTCTGACAGCAGTGTAGACAGACCCCCGGTGATACTGTGTACTGTAGGGTGAGAGCTGTAAGTGAGGCACCTCCTTGCTAGCATTGTGCCTAAAGGTCACTGAGAAATATTCTGGAGCTCCTGGACCTGGAGTGTTTGAATTTGCCTGGAGTTTGCTTGTTTGGGATTTTGAAATAAAACAACTTGAAGAAAAAAAATCCTTCCCTGAAACTCCTTCCTTGGGAATGCCCCAGAGACTCACAAGGACTCTTTGGCTGTTTTTTCATTACACTAGTCCCCCCTCACCCTCACCTCAGGAGAAGAGCTTACCTAGGAAGGCAGAAGGTGAGACAGTCCCGTTGCTACGTGATACCATGACACTAATTCCTGTCTCGATGAAGGGCACAGAGAAGTCTACCACCTCTGACCGCTCCTCATTTATGGTGAGGGATCCTACCGCCATGTAGGCCCGCTTGGTGACCACCTCAGATAAGGAGAAAGACGGAGAGTTACTGAAGCTGGTTCCACTCATGCCTCACAGTTAAGGACCCCACCCGCATCAGTATCTTCTCCCACTCCCATCTTTTCATACACTCCTTTATGCCTGGAATTCTCTCCCTGTCCTTACTTCCATCATCTCCTCTTTCTTATCTCTCTTCAAGACATACTTTTTCCAAGAGACTTATAAATATTAATCTTCTACTCAAAGAATGTTGCGTGTATTAAAAAATGATATTTAAAGTATACCTGTGTAGCTCTCAGGATAAACACATCATTTGTCTAGAAGACAAGTTGTCTTATTTCTGTTGTCCTTGTCTTCCCTTCCCTCAAAGAATGTCTGCCATTACCTCTTATATGTCTTGCCTTAATTTAAATAATAAACTCTTTGGTGCGGGGATACATGACAGCCAGTAACCTTATGTTCATCCTTTTTACAGGACCATGATAAATTTGATACAAAGTATGTCTTCTGAGGTATCATTTGAAAACTCATAATTTGCTGAACATTATTGTCCTGGTAAAATATGTGTGCCAATATTGTATGTGAAGTTACAAAATTCTACCGTATAAGATATGTTCCAAATTTAGAAAACCTAGCACAAAACTTAGAGACAAAAGGCAAACTGATGCTTCATCCAGGTGTCAACATAATCAAACGGACTATCACCTGATTAAACTGCCGTTCTTTGGCAGGAAGAAAGAAATTTACATCTTGGCAATAGAACAACTCGAGGTTCCCATGCAAACAGACTGCCTGCCATCTGAACACCAAATGGAGATGATTCTCAAAGAGGAGGAAGAGATATAAAAAAGAGGAACAGAGTCTCCAAATCAGTCTCTCCCTTCATCTCTACTCATGGCATCAAGCACACTTGAAAGACAAAAGAAGCATCATTGAACTGGGTGAGTGGTCCTGGCTGAAGGAAGCCAGCCAGATTGCTGTAAGCATGTGGTGAGAGAAAGCTTTTAACTTTAAATTCACTTAGCTTGCTAAGTTAGGTATTAGTTTGCATTTTATCTTTTATTTCTTTGTAACCAATTCTGACTTTTATGCCTTATTACTTGTAATCACTTAAAATATGTCTTTCTGTTGTTAATAAACTTGTTTTATTGTTTTATCTAAGCCAGTGTGTTTGGATTGAAGTGTTTGGGGAACACCATTTGAGGTAACAACATGCGTGCATATCATTTTTTATTAGTGAAATGACGGACTCTCTATGAGCGTGCATTGTCCAGGAGGGTACTGGGCAGTACAAGACACACATTTCTGGGGGAAAGTCTGGGGCTGGGAATTTGCTGGTGTAGCTCTGCAGTATAATTCCAGGGTGGCAGGCTGTCTGTCTGAAGCACTCTTGCACTATAGCTTGGAGTAATTTACATGCTGAAGGCTGTGTGAGAGCAAGCCAGGAGTGGCTGCTCTCGCAGCGAAGCAGTGTAAAAGTCTGGAGAACTGAGGAGACACAGCTGTCCAACAGTCCAGATTGTACCCTGGGTAGTGTCACAGGACATCTCCTTTTATTTGATTGTAAAGTGCCAAACACATGTGGCACAGTAGAAAATAGTAAATAATAAATGAGAGGGATTGTAGCTATTGTTCAGCAGTGAGCATGCCACAATGGATTCATTCACGCAACAGCCAGATGGATCCCCACACCAGGTCAATCATTTTTATGAGGTCTCATCTGCCCCTTCCCAGGAAGGGGAGCTAATCAGAACTTGGACTTGGATCTGACTCCAGAGCCCAGCCTGTGGGTAAAGTTCAGCCCCACCTTCATTGCTTACCTCCCCAATCATTCCATTCCACGTCCCATTGATCTTCTTCCCATGCTTGCCATTGGTCACCAGGTAGAGGTCATAGGTGAACTTGACAGACTTGGAGATTTTCTTGAGGATGTCAATGCAGAACCCCTTGCAGCATTTCTTGACGTAATCAGGCTCCTCATCCGTCTTGTTCCTGACCAGTCACAATAATAAGGGATTAAGTTTGAGCAGAACTCCCTCTGCTATTCCCCCTCCATTCCCAGAACACCTCCCCTCTCTCCCTGAACATGCTCCTCGTGAAGACCCTAGCTTGTGGTACCACTGCTGAGGGGCAAAAGGAGCCAAGTGTGCAGGGCTTGGCTGGCTGGCTGTACCAGTGACAAGAGGCAGCATGGGCCAGGTTGAGAGAGCCCAGATGGCTTAGCTGGAGCAGAGTATCAGGGCAAGCCAAGAAGGCTCCACCTGTTTTGTGGAGAACAGTGAGCCAGGAGAAAGATCCTCTAAGTGCCTACTCGGTCACGATGCGTTTTTGGCAGGGGACTGTATTCCTCATGCAGGTGCCACTTAGTGGGTCCACGCTCTCCACAATGACGAACGGCGCCTCCTCTAGGGTCACAATACTCAGATGGTCATCCTCACGCTCCTCAGAATCAGGGTACAGCTCAAAGCGGGGCCACACATAATACTTCATCTGGAGGCTCTTGTCCTTCCATTTCCCCACCTGCAGAGACACAAATAACAGAGAAACACGTGACTGCCCGATCCCTCTCCAAGTTACCCTGTAGCGTATTGTCTGGAGACAAGAGGCTCTCAGAGTGCCTGAGCCCACTCACGTGTGCAAGGACTTTTTTGAGGAGCAGACCCTGGGGAAATGGGTTCAACAATAGAGAAGATCACACAGGAAATGAGTTTGGAGAGTCATCACAAAATCACTGACCAATCTGGTAATCTTTGGCATAATAATCAGACTCTGTTCTTAGATGGGCTAAGACTGAAATAAGAGGAGAGCTGCATGTCAGGATTGAGTTTCCCTGGGTGGAGGGGACCATCACTGGAATAGCTGGGGATGCTATAAGTCAGGATTAACCATACATAAGCAGAGTTTTGAAGGAAAAGCTCATTTAACAGTTTCCAACACAATCCAGCTCAGATCTTTCCAGTGTTATCACTCCTGCACTTTCACAATCACTAAATTGCATAGCTGTACAGATTAGATGCAGATAAAGAATCATTGCTCTGTCTTCCTGATGCATGAGAAGATATTTCAGGGAGATTCTATTACTTTTATTTATGCTACTTTTGCTTAAAGAAATTCTACAATCTTATCCCTTCAGCCACTACTGTCATTTCTTGGGTAAACATGGACTCCCTTGTTGCAGGGGGTTCCTTTGTTCAACTGGTGCTACGTATACCCCACAGACAGGAGTTATTATTTTGAAGCCATTGCAATCTACCACCAGGTAATGTATTTAGAACACACACTACCCATGGTAAAATATTCCTTACAGAAATTCCAGAAAAACCACCTATGATGCTTTCAAACATCAAAGTCTCACCTCTGCTCACAGTTTCACCCATCCCATCACAATTGACACTAATAAGCATCTTGCTTGGCAGCTTCAGCTGAATTGGCCTTGAGAATGAACTCCCCACTCATTCTTAGAAGCAGTGCCTCCAGGTCAGAGTTGAGGTACATTGATGGTGGGGGCGGCATGTGTGTGTAGGAAGCATGACCTGCTGCTGCTCATGCTATACCTGCTCTGTGGGTAAATAGAGGGCTGGAGTCTCCAGCAGCTGTCAACCTTTCACTGAGTTTCAGGAAAAAAAGCACTTATTAGAGCCTTTTTAGGTGTCAAAGGTTATTTGATAAAATCAAAGCTGTTCTGGTGTTTTGCATTTGATGGCATCTAGAACCAGCATAAAACATTTATTGCTTTTTAAAAACCTTCATCTGATTTTAAAAAGAGCAAATACCCAGAGTGGGTTTATTCAGTAAATTGTTCAAAGGAACAAAAAAGTCACTCCGGGCAGCAGTGACCCCATAACCCTCTCCCAGTGCCAATACAGTCCTGTAGGGGGATGGCACCAGTGTGCTGTCAGAAGGTTGAGCAGTTGGTGGAGCTGGGTCAGCCCATGGGAACCTGAAGATCAGAAGTGGCAGCAGATGCCAGGAGTGGGCTGCATCTGACATTCTCATGATCCTGAGGGATCGCCATATTCAAAATAGGAAACAAATTCAGCAATTTTTTCACTTATTTTTTTAAAGTGCATTTTCATGCTAGATTAATACCCTGGGAGACTGATGGCTTCTGTTTATCCTTAGAACAGGTACAATGTTGGCAACAAAAGAGAAAATTCTCTCCCTAATCTCATACCTCAGCCCTAATTGAGATGGCCCATTTCTATGGTCCATTCTGTCTCTTTAGCCTCTCTGCTGAGAATGACAACAAGGAGCCCAATGAGAGCCATTTGTGCTGGTGGTTTCTGCAGTTTGGACTTATGTTCATGAGGAACTGGGCTCAGATCAGAAGGTCATTTCACTCAGGCCACCAAACAAGCTGGCAGATAGGAACAACTTTCATTTAAATTACAGACTTGTGGCTGGATTGGCACCGGTGATCTACAAGCAAAAGGGCTATGTAGATCAGCCCCAGTACACGTCCATCCCAGACACATGTTCAGGAACATTTGTTAACATTATCAGTAAGTGGTCAATGAAAGAGACATCTTTCCACATCATAGCAACACATAGACACCACAGTAATATATAAACCCCTAAAGCATAGATTAGACCAGATAGACATAGAAATCAGTCCTGACTCATAACTACCCAAAAGTTCCCGATGAAAGAGATGGGGAGCTCATAGAGTGGTAGGCCAGGAACATTTTTTGTGTTGTATTATATGGGGTAAATTTATGTGAGTTAAGATGGGAATGGCAGTCCAGCAACACCACAGCGTGACCACTGAAGTACCCAAACTGCAAACACAGCAGTACACAACCTGTTCACTTGCCCATCAAAGAGTAATGAAATATCAGCACAACCTAAAAACCACTCCATTCCAATAAGCTTTTTATAAATTGCCCAAAAAGGAGGAAAAAGAGAAGGTATGTAAGTGGGCTGGCCTAAATTTTCAAGTATACGATAAGTGCTTCAATAACGTGTCCAAATCCTACATTTCAGTGCTCAAATGAACACTCAGGCATATAAAACAAGCATTTCCATGTCTATAGGTAAGTGCTGATTTGAGAGTACAAAGGCAGGAGATGTATAGCCTGCTAACCTAGGAAAACTGGGGGGACGGGGCAATGTCTTAAAGTGTTTCTGATAGACAATGTGCATTTGGGAGAGTTAATGTGTATAAGTGAGAATATGGGGGAGTTCATGGGTATGAGTGTGTATTCAAGAAAGTGTGCGCATAAGGCAGCGTGAGTGTAGGGAGAAGAGTGAGAGAAATGTGTGTGCATGTGCGCATGTCTGTGTGAAAGAGAGAAAGGGAGAGAGAGAATGCAAGCAAAGGAAGTTCTGAGTGTATTTTTATATGGTATCTATCTATGCGAGCGGGAAGGAGCAATGTGTTATGAGGACAGAGGTTAGTCTCAACAAAATTAAATGTCACAGATTTGTCTTGGCCAAGTCATTAAAGGTGATGCCTGCAGTTAAAGAATATAACCTGCCAGCCAGCACAAAGCAGAGTGAGGCCCTTCTGACATCTCAGTGTGTTTTGGGGCAGCCTGTAAATTCTTATTATTCCAGTCTTTACTCAGTTCCTGCATAAGGCAGAGAAGCTCGGGGTTCTTGTGCCACACATCCCATTTATTACTCCTTATGCAGTTCTGAGAACCCACCCACTTGTAACACCAAAACCTCATCCAATCAGACATCAGCCACCAAAATTCCCCACAGGAAGTCTCAAGGAAAGGAGTATACATTCTCCTATCTCCCCTTACTTCTTTTTCTTAGTGTTACCAAGTCAGTAAGATATTTATAAAACAGAAAGGAGCCAATGGACTGATCTAATGAATATCTTGTACAGTACACAGTCAAAAGCAGGATGTTAACAAATCCCAAGCTAACAAAACCCAAACAAATATTATCCCTTTGTAAATAGCATGGAACCTCAGATTGATAGATACCATTGTCAATCACCTCACTCTTTTTCACTACAGGCCACTCCCTTGAATAATTATTAAGGAGGAAATTTAATTATAAGGGAGGGGAAAAAACAATTGGGATGCATAACCGGCACAGAATTTTGTCCCCAAATCTCAGTCCCTGAAGACCACTCAAACCTTCCCTGAGACCTAAAAAAGTTTGAAAAAGCTTCCAAAGTTTAGAAACATCTCTGAACAATTCTGCACCTACCATGTCTTGGGACTGGGACCAAAGAGCTCGCAAAGGTTAGCGTGGCTGGCTCTAAACATGGTTTGTGCTCATACATCATTGCTCAAACTTGATTAGTAACAAAGGCTAATGAGCAGCATTCTGCTCCTGCCAAACGCTTGGACTGGCACATAGCTGTCTTCCTGTAACCCTCCAGGACACTTTTTTTTTTCAGGGTTGACATGATACACTAATCACGTTTGTGTAACCGATTTGGATGGTCTTGCTTATTCCCAGCTACCTGTGTGGCAGGACAGCCCAGAACCCCACATGCTGTTGATGCCACTTTGTACATGTCATCAGAGTACCTTGTTCTCTGTTGAGGCACTATAGAATAGCTGCTCAGAGTTTCCAGAGTGCATTTAGGCAAACAAGGCTAGGCAGTATACCAGGTATGGACACACAAACACAGCTGCTGTGTGACACAAACTGAACTTTGTAACCTGTAACCAGTTAAGATGACCATTCCTCATCTAACCATTACAAAAACCCTGGTTAAAAGTTGTCATGTGGGCATAGCCAAAAACATGCCACTCCAGTGAGATTTCCAAGACTTTCTCCTTTCAACTGGGTCAGAGAACTGCCATTCCTTGTGTTTTTCTTAGTATTTCATTTTTATCTGGCCTGGAGAACACAAAGGCCACTTGCGGAACTCTAACTGAAAGTTAAAGAACGTGACCATTCAGAGGTTTGGGTTTTACATTCTGGGCAAAGCTCCTTCCAGATACTGTTTTGGGTGAAGGGTCCAGAGGTACAGGTTCAGGTTTTGGACAAAAAAATTCAGGAGGCTCAGGTTCTTGTCTGGGTGAAGATTAAAGGGGACTGGACAATGTTGTGGTTAGTATTCTGCATGAAGCATCTGGAAGATCAAGTTTTAGCACAGCTTCTCTCTGGTTCTTATTTTATCCAGGTTTGATCACCTCCTTTCACTGTGTCTTATACCACTTCCTCCACCCCCATCCCTACAGTTCATAAGAGGTCACAAATAGGAATGAGGGTATTTCAGTTGCATTTAAAAAGTGACCAAAAAGGTCACCCAAAACTCATTTGGGAATCCAAACCCTTCCTGAGGTTCAAAAAATCTCAGATAATATTTCCCCCCTATCATTTTTAATGTTCACAGCTGCCTTTGTGCTTCCTAATTCCATTGCTGAAATACATAAGGAAGGAGAAGAGGGGTGGTGCAGCCTATGACTCAGGAGAACTGGATTTAATTCTCTGCTCTGCCACAAAACTTCCTAAGAGACCGTGGCTAGGGACTTCTCTGTCCCTCAGTTCCTCAACAATAAAATGGGGATAATAATACTTTCCTAGCTCAACGGGGTATTGTGAGAATA